CCGAGTTTTTTCACGGGCTAATAATGATTGACTGATCCGCAGATTAAAGTTTGTTATGGAGACCAAACAAGTTGTAGCCCTGTCTTTGATATCGCTTGGGTGGCTTCTAGCATTGGTATAGGTCACTATTTTCACGATATATTGCGCGTACTTTGTTTAAGCGTCAATAAGAAGTCGTTTTGATAAATGGTATTGAATAAATGGCAAGTTGAAAATGAAGTTTTTTCATTATAATTTTGTAAGTAGAACTGAGAACCACATTTCCGAAAAACACCAGTGTTCTATAAATGTTCTTTTTTTCTATCATAGTGCCGTTTTTTTTAACCCACAGTTCAGCTTTAGTCGATCGAAGGGAAATGCATCATTGTTTTTTTTTTTCGCCATGTGCCTTTCCAAATTACAAAAAGAAGAAAAAATCTCAGTACATCTACGGAGTGAATGATGATGAGTGGGGCGAAGCGTCGGAGGGTTTTATCGGTAAACCGTGAATCGTCTGTCTGTCTGTCTGTCTGTCTGTCTGTCTGTCTGTCTGTCTGTCTGTCTGTCTGTCTGTCTGTCTGTCTGTCTGTCTGTCTGTCTGTCTGTCTGTCTGTCTGTCTGTCTGTCTGTCTGTCTGTATGTCAGTCTGTCTTCTTGGAACAGACGAATGCACGGACGGACGCTTCGCCCAACTCATCTTCACTCCGTGGATGTGCTGTGAAAACCACTAACGCCATCTAATTATATTATTCCCAAGGACATATACGCACAACGCCATCTATAGAGCAACTCATAAAGTACAGGTTGCTACATACTACTACTACTACTACTTTACTACTACTACTACAACTACTACTACTACTACTTTACTACTACTACTACTACTACTACTACTACTACTACTACTACTACTACTACTACTACTACTACTACTAAGTAGTAGTAGTAGTACAAATGAGGGAACGACCAGCGGCGTAAGAAACTTCGCCCCTAAAAAACGAACGAAGAGAAATGAAACTTGAGGCGATGGCCATGCTAGGTATATCGGTGACTACAATGTCATCACATGCCGGAAATATATTACGGCATTATCTACATTCATTTCAAGCCAGAACGACTTCAGAGGCTCCTACATGACCTCTGGTCCCTAAGTAGGTTTTCGATTTGTGCACTTTTCTACGTCGCGCATTATATCTTCTTTAGAGATTACTTCCCGTCTACTGCATTCGTTCTTCTCTATTTTCTTTTGTAAAGAATCATATCTACCTGAGAAAGGAGCCTTCAGTTTCTTGAGAAGCAACCGCCTGACGTAAAATAGAGTAAGTGCAGTCGCTACTGCTTCATGGTTTCGGTGCAATATGAGCCATCGAGATTAGGGAGGGGACCGTGAAAACAAATTCATACTTTCGATTATTCCCGAGGCTTCAAAGGGAAGACCTGTTTTTCGTTGCTTTCACTAAGTGAAAACAAAAAAATTCTGAGTAGAGGAATTCCATTAACAGTCCTTATTTGCTCGCATTCGCCTTGGCGACTGAACGAGCGCTCGGCTACGATTTCGCAGCATTCCCTCGGTATTGCTTGCGTTGAATATCATGTGAGTGAGTGAGTGAGTGAGTGAGTGAGTGAGTGAGTGAGTGAGTGAGTGAGTGAGTGAGTGAGTGAGTGGACTGCATTTGTCTGCGGCAGTGATGAAGTCCATTACACATGGTTGTTGCATTTTATTAACCTGATATTTCAGCCTATAGCGGATAGCATTTTCAATGGAGGCGAAAATGCGGTGGGCCCGTGTTCTCAGATTGGGGTGCACGTTCAAGAACACCAGGTGGTCGAAATTTCCGGAGCACTCCACTACGGCATCTCTCATATTCATATGGTGGTTTTGGGACGTTAAACCCCACATATCAATCCAATCAAATCAGCTTACAGCAGATAGAGGATCTTAGAGGGGTCTTGTGCGGAAATGGCGAGAAGTCTCGTGGTTTAACGAACGATGCGATCTTCGAACCATTCCACCCTACTATAGTACAGATAAATGATTGGTTGATGAGATTGAATATTGATCCACCCAGATAACCATTCCAGTGCAAATACCATGCGCTTTCTGTATACTAAAACAAGCAAGAAGTTAACGATGCATCTCCTTTACTTTCGCATATAGGAAACCAAATGATTGCACTTTGCCGTGGCCCCAACAGCCTCCTAGGAACACTTCACTTAAGTTTTTTTTATTGCAAATAGAAACATGCAGATTATACGGCAACAGTTTACTGGCCTTATTTCAGAATGAGGTAATAACTACGTGTACATGTATTCATTCTTGATCACCATGACAAAACATAGGTAACATATTGCATGCGAAAGTAGCAATGATCTGTAGTATGACAACGTAATGTCAGGACGGCTAGGCGTTCCGCGGCAGTTTTAGTGGGTCTGACAGACTCTTCTATTTCAAGCAGCCATCGCTTTCGTTTGTCTACATGATTCGAAGAGAGGGCAGAACACTTGTAATAGAACTTTTCTAGAGCGTTTATCTACAATTACCAATGCCGCAAGATTTGCTGTACATTTCTTACAAGATGTAATTTTTTCCACTTCGTAAATTGGGCCATACTTCAAGGTCCTTTGCAACTGCATGTTTGTCTCTGAGGGAAACTTTCTTGCAATAAATCAAGGGTTAAACAAAATCAATACTGTTTTCTGTCAAGCGCAGACATCGTTTCACATTGTTTCGCATCATGCAGGTAATTGTGCACCCTAGTTCAATTATCGCAATTCTTTCCTTTTCTCTTTCGGGCTTTGGATGGCCTCGAGTTTGTCATGTTTGACTCAGACCTGCAGTTACCGTGGCAGAAGAAGACTGTTTTCACGTGTTTTAGGTGATTTTTATCCTCACGTGTGTGCTCGAGGATCAATGAAGGACGTGATTGGCTACGACGACGTTGCGAGACGGTTCCGCTTATAATGATAGAGGAGCACGCCAAGTATAAAGGACATAAAAGTAAATGAAAGTGAAGACCTATATGGTCCGTCAGATGATCGTGGTAGCACACTAGAAAAGAAACAAGAAAAGAAAGAGCAAGTGACTGTTTGCGAGTAGATGGCTGAAGGTGTGGTACGGCAGTGAATGGGTAGAGACGGGAGTGCCTGTGAACTAGGAAGTAACATGACTGACGCCGTCACTTGAAATGACGTGAGCAGTAATTGCGGTGAGTGCCATTTTCGAGCAATGCATAAATATAGATTCGCAAGGGCGGACTTTCGCAAACACTGATCGTGAAATCTACCACTTGCGAAAGCGCTGGCGAAGTAGACATCTGCATACCTGGCCAAAATACTTCGTTTGCACAAAATACTGCTGCCACGTGAAGTTTCACACGCTTGTTTCTTAAATGAGTGAGTGAGTGAGTGAGTGATTAAAGAAACTAACTGGATGAAAAAGATTAGAGAACGATGATGCCAAAAGTTATGAAGTCAACTAATTGTAACGGCGAAATGCCTCATTGGGCAAGTTGGTTATGCGTGACTGCTTGAAATACGAGCCCGAAACATAGACAAGGACAACCTTAGAGCAGCGCAGGAAGATATCAAAACTTAAATTTTTATTTATGCTTTATCACAACAGACTTAATGTGAATGCGCGTGCACTTATTCAACCATTTTTGTCACGTACATCGACAAATCGATATGCACATAATATTCTTCCTTATCAAACGCGCACTAATCTTTTTTTTAAGTACTCTTTTTTTCCGTGAACCATTTCTGATTGGAATTCGCTGCCTGAAAATATTGTTTCATTAAAATCTGCAAGTGCATTTGAAAATGCGCTACTTATTGATTTGGAAATGCAGTAAACCAGTGAATGTTCATCGCTTTCACTTTTGCATTTCGGCGTTTTTTTCACTACGTGTTTTATTGATGCAGTGTTACTTCATAATTTGCAAATACTGCATTTACGCACCCGACGTATACCAGGAAGAGTTCTTTTTTGTTTACTTTTACACTTCTTATAGTGTGCGTCACTCTCCTTAGAACTGTATTATTTTATTATCTTAACAGGCTGCGCTGGTAATACTTCTAGATATGCCGTAAGATTGTTTTGTTTCCCTTTTCTGTGAGATTGTGTGCTTTACGGCTCCATTTGTACTTGTAAAATTGAAACTGTATATTTTCCCACCTGCATGGTCCTTTGTGACTGCAGTATACTGTAAATAAAAATAAAAATAAAAAAGACACGAACAAGCACTTGTGCACGTCTTAGTTGTCCTTGCCTACGTTACGCACTCGTATTTAAAGCAACCTAGTTGTAATGTCTTTTATTATGAAGCATGGTAACTTGAGCAAGTTGGTAGGACATAACTGAATGTAGGAACAGCGCAACCTAGAAGTAGTTTCTTCGTAACTATGGAAGCGAAAAAACAAGGACAGAAAAGAGCGCGCCTTTCTGCCCTTGTTTTCATGCTCTGGTAGTTACGAAGTAACTACCTCTTGGTTGCGCTGTTCCTACATTAGGCTTTTATTAACCCGCTCAGTGTGCTTATTCCGTCTCTTGATTGTTTTTGCCTACGTTACGCATTAGTATTTCAAGCAATCAAGTGATAATGTTCTTTGTTAGCGATATTAGATATTAGTTAAGGTATTAGTGTGTTAGTTGTCATTGTCTACGTTACGTCCTCACATTCTAAGCAATCAAGTTGTAATGACCTTTATTAACGCTCTTGGTGAGTTTAATAATGCCCTGTTTTGCACTCTCTTCTTCTTTATAGTGTAACAATCCTACAGAACCTCAGTATTATTGATGTCAAATCAATACTCCATCGCGTAAAGCAGAACAGAGGATGCAGTGTTTTATGGAAATGGGCTGAAGAAAAAGAAAGAGAGAACGGCGTTCTAAAGCTCACAATATTAAGTAGACGACTCCCAAGGCATGTTCCTCAAAAATACTCATTGAAAATTGTTACAGGAATAGCCCTCCATCTGAGTTCATTCTTAACGTTACTCTGTAACTTTTTGTTTCAGAGTCGATTGACACCGCACCTGGAAATCATGGCAGCAGCGGGGTTTCGTCCACTACAAGCTCCTTTAAGGGTACAGCGATGCGTGCGCAATATCGTTCAGCCGCAGAGAACTCAAATAGCCATGCACATGTACCGGTATGAAATGTAAAATACACGGAAGACGAACAGCTCAATGTGCATCGTTCAATACCACCGGCAGGGCACAAAATGACGGCGACCCTTGGTCTCTCTAATCGAATGGATGATGATTTCCAAAATGGCACCATCACACTATTTATTAGCGCTAACGCCACCACTGACATCCTCTCTTCAGCGAGTGCTGAAGACATCCTGGGGCCTCGCTATCACAAGCGATCCCGCATTGCTATTATCATTGTCATGATCGTGGCTTCAGTCATCGGCAACACGTTCGTCTGCTGGAAGCTCGTCATCAAGAGACGACGACAACGAATGTCCAAAGCCCGTGTGCTCTTCTTGAATCTGGCCATCTCAGATCTGATGGTAGCTTGCATCACCATGACGTCGCAAGTGGTGTGGGAGGTGATGGGTAGGCTGTGGATTGCTGGCGATGCTTTCTGTCGCCTTTTCAAGTTCCTACAGACGTTCGCACTCGTGTCGTCCACTTATATGCTCGTAGTGATCGCGCTTGACAGACACATCGCTATTGTTACTCCGCTGGCACCGAACCCAGACCCTTGGAAGTTGGCAGCTTTCACCTGGCTGGCATCGTGCTTGCCGTCCCTGCCGAACGTTTACGTGTTCCACGCCGTCCAGGTGGATCGTGCAAGGTGTTTCTGCGCGTCCATCTTCTACGAAAGCAGCACGCCAATCTACCACCGACAGCTCTACATGGGATTCGTGTTCTTCATGGTGTTCGTGGTTCCGCTCGCACTATTGGTGACATTCTACACGGGCATCTTATGCACCATATGGAAGCACCGCTCCAGGAGTGACAAAGTGGGCCAGCAAACAGCCTCGTCGCTTCCGCTTGCCAAGGTTCGTGCCGCCAATATGCAATGATTTATCACATAGACCTGAGAACAACGTAACCTGATATCTTAGTGTGTATTTCATATTCCTCCTAGTTTTTTTTTTTCGCTGCAACTATTGTGTTTTGTTCCTCTTGGCTGTTCGTACTAGAGCGACCAACTGACGCATGCCTGTTCTGGGAAACTGCAGTGAATATTTGAAAACCCTGTGGTACATCTCGGTATTCACATACAGAGTGGCCCGAGCTCTTTTTTGCAACGTGCACGTCAGCGCCAATTGAAAGTTTAACGAATTCATTGACTAGGGCTGTCTATTCCGGCGCATACAAAGAGATTTGAATTACATAATCTACAAGACAGATCGACTCAGTGCTCGTGAAGTGAATGTGAAAAGACACGCAGAACTTTGTTTAAATATTACGGCAGATTCAGGCGCGTCTGTCAAAGTAAGCGTAAAGAAATCGTTTAAATTACACGCATAAAGACACGTGCATGCAAAGCTATGCAGACTGCATACGCACGTGATATCATTGCTTAAAATGATAAATTCACCGCTGTGTTTCAATAAGACAGGTGTGTATTTCAGAAATGTATACGAGGGGACATTAAATGTACTCTTTTTTACCTTTCGTGTTGCTTCGTTTAGTCAGACACAAGAGACGAATTTGGATAATGAGTTATAAATAGTGTAGTCAGTTGAGCCACATACTCTCACAATATGAGAAGCAGTTCTAATCTTCTATATTATCTGCACAGTGTTTAGCCGAGGATGAAGTTGTAACCTATGAAATAAAACAGGTCTATAGTTCCCAGATTCAACAACTGCTTGTTCCATCTACTCCTTAGGGAATTTTTTAGAGCATGTTGCCTTGTGGCTTTGTTTCAGTTGTGTAGTTGCAAAAATAAAATAACATCGCTTTAGAACGGACAGTTTAAGCAGTACCAATATTACTTTTCTGGGAACAAGCACGCTCTCTTCCCACGTATGGAAAGAAAAAAAAAACATTACGTCTGGCCGGTTTGATTTTGCTACCTGTTACAAAGCTTTTTTTTGTTTTCCTGCAGAAATCAGGTTTTCACTGAGTAGTAAGAAGGTCAAATAACAATGCATATGAACATCAGCAGGTCGAAAATACCAATATTCATTGCTGATAACGTTTTCTTTAATATACCGCCCTTCGGACGAAAAAAATATTGTGTTAATTATGATTACACGTATACTTCTAGACAAAGATACTTTTACCGTGAAGTTCTTTGCATCGGCATTCTGATAGTCTTCTCGGAGATGCTCCCTTGTCAGTGCAGTAAATATCTTTGGAAGAACTGATTTGTAACAAAACAACTTAAGTTGGCAGAAAATCCATCATTGTTCTTATTACAAGAGCGGCGCATTTCGAGATTCATGTACTCATATATATCACGTGTTTTTGCATTGCAATCTGTCATTCTCACCGAAGCTTCCTCCCCAAAAAACATCTATCCATTGAATGCAGGACTGTGTGCGTCCATGGCATCAATGGACACAACGAAGACGAAATATGACAAAGAAACAAGTCTACGTCGTAGCAACTACAAAAAAAAAGACGATAGTAATGTCTGCGGCGCAGAAGAAAGCTTCGGGTTCTTAAGCAGCTTTACATTCTGCGTTAGAAGCGTAATACCATATTTATAGCTGCTTTTTATTTTGCTGGCGGTCTCAAATCACCGTCTGTCACACCCGATAAAAAGCTTAAAGAAAAGTGTCACTCTGTTTACGGCCACATCGAGGTGATAAGGGGACGGCCCGGTGCTCGAACGGTTCCTCAAATGAGAACGAAAAATTTCTCCTTTTGATGATAATACCCAATCCTTGACAGAAAGCAGAATCACAGAAAGGTAGAATGAAATGGGTATAGTATATAGTTCAGTAGGGGCCACACTATACGGAGTGGTCCCTACTGAAGATATTTGCAGTCAGAATATTTTTCTGGAAATCGCAAAATTCATTTTATTCAAGTTAGTCAAAATTAAATAAATTTGAATAAACATGGCGACTTTGAGAGTAATAGTTTGTGACCATGTTTGCCACGTTGCTTGACCATTACCCCAAAACGAGGCAGAGACTTCCTCAGTCGGCAATGCTGTACAGATCTAACACTTTGTCAAACCTAGCAAGCATACATTCATGCTTTCGCATGACTGTCGGTTCTGAATTATGTGAAAGCTTCATTACATCTCCAACTCTACGCGCACAACACGCAGAATTCCCTCTCGTAGTTTTGTAGATTTCGCCATAACTTTCGCATGCACAGTCACAGCATAGATCCGCACTCACAAATGATGTTAGTGAAAGACGTCATGCTATTATAATGTGAAATGCTCTTTTAGTTGTATTCACAAAGTGATTGGGCATCTACCATTCGAATTTCAACGAGATGGCCCAAGAATACACTTCACACGTAATTTAATAATATCGCTATACCAGCTTCTTCTATTTCGGTACTATTTTTCTACCACAATTACTTTGTTCAACTCAAAAGCTAGTGTCAATTGTGCTGCAGGTGTACATGGAGGAGGAATGCAGATAAAATCAGGAAGTTTGTGGGTATAAAGAGGCAGCAGCAAGGACAGGGCCATGTTAACTGGCGGAACATGGGAGAGGCCTTTGTCCTAAAGTGGGCATAGCCAGGATGATGATGATGATGAAGATGAGACAGGCTCTAACTTCTTTTACACCCCTCGAACAAGCTCACCAGTTCATACAGTGGAGCGCAGTGACCACATTTTTCCGAATATTATAACACTTCGCGCCACGCAGACCCTCAATTTCGAAAAACATTCCCCGCGCATATTTCCTTTGCCTGACCGATCCCCCTTGTACGCGCGGCGACGCAAGCTTGCCCATGGGCAACTCTACGTACCACTGAGCTCGTCGATTGGTTCTTTGCCCTATATACGAAATGGTGCCTTGGCCCTGTGGTGAGGCAGTTTTGGCCGCACAGTCCACATTTTCATTTTCTTGTGCTGTCCTTTGCCGTTTTGTAAAGCCCGAGACTACAGGGAGAAGCAGTATTGCCAGAACAAAGGCCTCCGAGATAAAGAGACGTCTCGATACTTTACCGCGGGAAAGGATCTCCTTGATCCGCGTTTTCTACCCGTGCCGCTATGACACGTGGTCATGTAGGGGCTGTCCTGCTCGGTGATTGGGTGCGCGACGATGACGTGTCACTGATGTCGTGTCACTTGCCAAAGTGGGTGGAGTCACGACGATGGGTTACCCTTCCCCATCTCTATGGTGGAGAAGGGTGACGAGGCAGTGCAAAAATTTGAAACCAGCTTAAATGTACGTTCTAACCCCCATTCCTTCCTTATTATAGCACATATTCGCAAAATTCTTGCGGCAGCATGTTCTCATTGAAGAAATACGCGCAGTTTTCTTCATAAGAATTTTCGGACCTTTGGAGGAGGAAGAGGAGGAAGAAAGTTTAAGCGGAAAGACAGGGAGGTTAGCCAGTTCTTAGACCGGCTGGCTACCCTGTGCTTGGGAAAGGGGTGAGGGAATGAAAGATGTTAAAAAGAAATGTTGCGAAGAGAGGGAGAAAATAAAAAAAATTGCGACAGAGGAAAGGCAACATCAAAGAGTATAAGACACTAAAGTCTGTCTCTGAGGCCAGTTGTCCGCAAAAAGCACAGCAAAGCTTTCAAAGCCTTCTGCGCTGAGGATGGGCTCAGCCAATGACCCAGAGTCCTTTGTTCCGACAAAGGCCGATCGTCCAGTCTATCCAGAGCTGCAGTGAGTTCTTGTCTTTGCGCGTTGAAATGGGTGCACTCACACAGAAGGTGTGCGATGGTTTCTTCGCAACTGCAGTAAGTGCATGTAAGAGAGCTGGCCATCCCAATGAGATAAGAGTATGCGTTCGTGAAGGCCACTCCAAGCCACAGGTGGCATAGAAGAGTCTCCTCAGCTCGAGATACCCTTGGAGGAAGACGAAGCTGCAGATCGGGATCCAAGTTATGCAGGCGCGCGTTTGTGAAGTCTGTTGAGTTCCACTGTGCCAGTGTGAGGTCACGTGCAAGCGAACGAAGTCTTGTAGCTGCGTCGGTTCTTGAGAACGGGATGGCTGTGTATTGGGTACCATCGTGTGCAGATCTAGCGGCCTCATCTGCGCGGTCATTGCCATATATGCCGCAATGACCTGGTATCCACTGATACACTATGCCGTGCTGTTTTTCGGTTGCTTGGTGATGAAGAAGCCTTATTTCAGCTACTAACTGTTCATTAGGTCCATGGCGAAAGGGTGATATAGGACATTGAAGAGATGCCTTCGAGTCCGAGAAGATCGACCAAATTCCCGAAGGTTCTTTCACTATAAACTCCAGAGCTGCACGAATGGCTGCAAGTTCTGCAGCTGTCGACGACGTCAAATGCGATGTCATGAATTTAATTGTGATGTGCCTCGCGGGAATAACCACCGCCCCTGCAGAGCTTACTGAAGACACCGAGCCATCCGTGTAAATGTGAAGGCGTCCGTTGTGCTTCTCTTGCAGGAAAACTAATGCGGCCTGTTTCAGGGCTAGATGCGACGATTTTTTCTTATTTTGGATGCCAGAAATTGTAACAAGGGATTTGAGTGGGTGTAGGCACCATAATGGTATCGGCGGCTGTGCTGCATGCGTGAAGTGCAATGGAAGCACTGCGCAATGCTGAGCTACAGTTGCGCTGAACGCTGAGTGGGGCCTGGAAGTTCGAAGTGAGGCGAGGTGATGAGATGGAAGCAGGCGAGCGAAATGTCTTATGACCTTTGGGTTGTGTACTGGCCCTGTAACGTGATGTTTTGTATTCTCTGGCTGACATGATGTGACAGCTGTGAAATTTTGTGTTTCTAATTAGTGCAGTGGGATGCGTTCCGCAAAAAGCGAGCAGAAGGCGGGCGAGGCGACGAGCCGATCACGGATATAGACGAGTGGACCGCGACGCTCAATCGGGACGTAGACGCGGTAACGTGCCACATCCCGCCCGAAGCGAAG